AAAATACAAAAGAAAATCCCCTTACTCAAATCATCTAATCTTGTTCAGTTTCCCCTTCTTAGTAAATGGTGCTACCATCAGCCTTTTGTTGAGATCTGCATCTTTGGAGGATAGAAGGGAAAAAAATATAGATACATATACTATAAACATTATAGTATAGCCAGGTGCGGTGGCTCACACCTGTAATCCCAGCACTTTGGGAGTCCAAGGCAGGTGGATCTTGAGGTCAGGAGTTTGAGACCAGCCTAACCAACATGGTAAAACCCCATCTCTACTAAAAATACAAAATTAACTGGGCATGGTGGCACATGCCTGTAATTCCAGATACTTGGGAGGCTGAGGCAGGAGAATCGTTTGAACCCAAGAGGCAGAGGTTGCAATGAGCTGAGATCGGGCCATTGTACTCCAGTTGGGCGACGAGTGAAACTCGTCTCAAAAAATAATTATTATAATGTATATAATATATGGTATATTATAATACATATAGTATATTTATACTATATACTTACCATATACAGTATATCTGATGCTAGATATAATACATTATATAATAGTATGCTATACTTATATGGTGTATTTATAACAATATATAGTATCTTTTAATAAGATACTATACTTTTTTTTTGAGGCGGAGTCTCGCTGTCACCCAGGCTGGAAGACAATGGCGTGCTCTAGGCTCACTGCAACCTCCGCCTCCCGGGTTCAAGCGATTCTTCTGCCTCGGCCTCCTGAGTAGCTGGGATTACAGTTGCCTGCCACCATGCCTGGCTAATTTTTGTATTTTTAGCAGAGATGGGGTTTCAGCATGTTGGCCAGGTTAGTCTCAAACTCCTGACCTCATGATCCACCCGTCTCAGCCTCCCAAATACTGGGATTACAGGCATAAACCACCGAGTCTGGCTAATATACTATACTTATATAGTATACTTACAATAATATAGTAGTATAGTATATATGTTATATCTAGTATAGGATATACTTTATATGGTGATAAGTACATCCTGATCCCATTTCTACCCCCCTCCTATTATTGTACTGATTCCTCTCCACCCGATATTTAATCAACCTGATATTTAATCCAAAATACATACCAAATCTGACAGCTTGTACAACCAGCTTAAAGTCCAAACTTCTCACCATGACCTGTAAGGAAGACCCTGTGTGTTCTGGCCCCTACTTCTTTTTTCCTGGACACATGGCCTTCTTTCTGTCCTGGAACCTGCCTGTTCTATTGCTTTTGCATTTGTTTTTCTCTTCTGACTGGATCGCTCTTCCCCCAGGTTGTCACCTGTCTGACTCTTCGTGTGCATTCAGGTCTCAGCTCAAATGTCACTTTTTCAGAAAGCCTTTGTGTGAAACTGTTAATACTTTATCACGAAAATTGTCCTACGTAGATTTACACTAAAATTTTTTTGTACGTTTTTCAGGGAATTGCCAGGGCCTAGAAAAACCTTTTGTTAAAGATTTATTGACCAACCATTGACCTTGGCAGATTTCTGCAGTTCTTTTTTTTTTTTTTT